AATATAAACCCTATTTAATTCCTTATATTAAATAGGGGAACTTGTCGGCCAATACATTGGTTTCGCAGACCAAACGGATGTCATAACTTTCTTTAGTTTATTTGACCGAGCCTCACTCTCAATTCTTGCGGGATAGATACATGATTTGAGATAAAGCGCTCTTTCATCTAAACTATGAAAATTATGGGGTCAGTTTGACTTCATCTTTTTCAAAACTAAATTTTTTTAACGTCCTTCCGAAGCGGGCAACGGGATTTCAATTCCAATGACCGACAGCTTCTTACGGGCAAACCCCACACCAAAAATAGTGTCGACACATGTGCAACTAATTGTTTGCCTACAATGTTCCAGTTTTGAGTGAAGAATTTTGTCGTGAAACTATATGGACTCGCGGTCTTATCTCCATTAATAACATGAAGAAAAAATACAATTTTTTTATCAACCATAGACCTAACAAAAACAAAAGTATGATGCAGGCATAGAGTGGAGCTCGTATGAGAAACTAAAAGAGCAGTGGAGGAATTTTTGACATTAAAAAGAGTAGCATAGCAATAGATAATCTCTCATGCAATATCATTACAATCAGAGATCACACCATTCTCCATCAAAAGTTCTCTTATTGAGTTGATGATATTCCCTCTTTAATAAAATTGTAGAGAACTTTGAGGTCATCATCACCATAATTGATAATCATACTTTGGCTTTCTATTTGATAATCATACTTTTAATGAAAATAACTTGAGAGTTATTGTCTTCGATAATTTTGGCTTCAAAGATGAGGCTTTTGTTATGGGGTTATATCCAATAATGTGAGGATGATGTCTTGCTTCTTTTTTAGATAAGAGAAAAATTTTGAAAGAGATGACAGACCAATTCACCTTACCTCTTAAAGAGAAGTATTCAAAAATAAACCAATAGTAGCTCTCTTAAGCAAACTCTAAATAAGGTGGTCCAAAAGTTTTTAAAGATGAATTTATGCTCGGCTTGCAAAATATTTCCCAATTTGGTGATGAGAGAATGATTATAAAAGAAGTTACAAAATGATGGAAAAAAGAGGTACAAACAACTAGTATTTACAAAACTCTAATTTAGAATGAATAAGATTGCCTTGTTGATTGTTAGACAAGAAGCCAAAGTTCGGTAGATCATCCAACACAAGTAAAAAATACAATCTCCATAATGCGCCAATCTTTTATGACTAGAGAGAATGCAACTAAAACCACCCTATCTATAATTGATAGTGGAAGCAAATTTTTTTAGAGTAAACGAAAAACTTCTAGAGCACCTTTTTGGTATATACACAAGTACCTAAAAATTGAATGGATCAAGATAAACGCTATATATCAATTGGGAAGTGCACAGGGTTTTCGAAATGAGATGGTAAACAGGTTCCATTTGAGTATATGTGACCTCCACAACAACAGTGGATGCTTTTACAACTGTCTTCAATGTGAAAGAGAGAAACATCTCTCACTTGAGTAGGGTCCTGCAATGAGTCAAAGTGCACTTTTAGTTTCCAACAAACTTGAATGTTAATATGAAATTCTTGATTCAATTTTTTATTGTCGCAAAGTCTGCCCTCACCTAGAAGGCCTCTCACAATCCAGGAAGCACCGACTGGGAATAGTTGAAAGAAGCAAAAAAGTTGCTGGCCATTTTTCCTTTATTCTCAGGTTCTTAACAGGATGAAATTGTTGGTGCAAGAGAAAATCATTTTTCATTTGAAGCAAACTTCGTGAGGAGGCACTTGTTTAGGCTATCATGATAGCATATTTGTTCTGAACTATCATTAGAGACTTCGGACAGGAAACCATTTTTGTTCAATAGAAGAAAGCCAAAACAACATCAAAGGGATCAAGAGAAGGTTTAGGAGGGAGAGATTAGAGTAATGGGAAGAAAGAAGGGGTGTAAAAATTTTCAAGGGGTTAAGAGGAAAGTATTCTTGGGGAGGGGAATGAATCTAGAGTTCGTCAAGCTCCCTAATGGATGGTATGGGTCTTGTATCAATTCTAGCAGTAGTTATGACAAGAATAGAGGCTTTCCATCAACCCAAGTATGAAGAGGGGAGCGATTGAGTTTCAAAAATGGCTTTGTATTCTCATAGTGGTTCACAACTTATACTTCTACCCTAGTATGAAGAGGGGAGCGATTTTGTATTTTTTCTTAGCACAAGGGTTATTATGCAAGGAAGGACACACACAACAAGCATTACATTTCTAGTCATGTTAAATCTCCTGTCAAAGTTTCATTCCATTGACGTTTATAGCAATTAAATCCGTGATTGTAACAGTGGGTGGATCTAGTACACAAACCCTCGCAAAAGAAACCCTTAACTTCGAACTGGTTAGATTGTAGATCACTAAAAGTTGTAAACTTTGCATGCTACTTTTGAAATCCAACTCTGATTCCAGTAAGCAAGGGGAAAATTGCAAAGTTTAGTCTATGATGAATTTAAGAGAATACTTCTTTTACGGTCCAAAAAATCGAGCTCATTTTTTGAGATAAAAAGGACAACTACTTAATAAGCATAGACCTCCATCCCATACAATGTCAAAATCCACTTTAAACGAAAATTTAAACAGGAACAAATAACCTGAGGGAGTAGATCAAAGATGCCCTAGAGCTTCCACTATCGCCTGATTACCATTATGGGAGATTCATACAAAAGCCATACCTGATTGTGTACGCTACTAGAAAGTTTCCATTCCCTATCCTTGGCTAAAAAAACAACCTTATCTTCTCCAGCATTATGTGAGAGGGAACTCCTTAATTTAAACATTAAGAGCATAAAAAAGATCCTTCTAGTTGCAGGTGGCATGAGAGGCTGATATAAAAAAATTGCCTAAATCCTTAAAAGAGGCCAAAAGGAATATCCAACTCAAGAATAGTGTAAGGTTTTGGCAGGAGGGAGGAAAAATTGCTTAGGTCCAATGAGATGGCATCCACTGAGGAAAAATCTAGAAGGGATCTTTGACCATTGAGGGCAGATTAATGAATAAAGGGGAGATGAAGAATGTAAAGAAAAAAAATGGGGAAGGGAAGCCAAGCAGAGCTCATAAACCCTGTAATCAGTGGTTGGAGGTCTTGAGGAGCTTGCAGAAATAAAAGAGAGGAAGGAGCTACCTACCAGTGGGTAGGAGGCAAAAAAACTATACCAGCAACAATACAAAAGGAGAGGGTACCAGAGAGAAATAACCCTAGTCAAGGGTGTTTCACAAGGTGCTATGGTTGTATAGTTCCAATGTAAATCATATGTATTTAGCTAACAAAATTAAGAGCCATCGAAGGGCCTACTTGGGGCAGCAATTTTATAACTTCACAATTTAGAAAAGCTGCTAAAGTTCATTTTAGTAGAAATTTTCTTGTAGCTTTTTTGTAATTTCTATGGTAGCGGGCATATTAGACTGAAATATCTGCAAGAAAATGGTCATCTTCTTCAGAACAAAAAAAATTCACGATATTCATAACTGTCAAAAAATTATTTCATTCACAACAGTTATATGACTAATTTTATAGACAATGTATCCTAAACAAATCTGTAAAATGCACAGACTACAAAAAGAATGGATTCCACACTTCAGATAGTAGCTGTACATAAAGCAGAAAAGATTATATACACTGCAAGCCCAATTCTATAACGTAAATCAATTCGAATCAGGATTAGGACTTCTTGACAGCAGCCTTGCAGACAGGGCATGCATTCTTCTGAAGAAGCCACTTCTTTATGCATTCTAAGTGAAAGCTGTGGTCACAACCCAGTTTTCCCACTTCATCATCTATTTCATATTCCTCCTGTGAATTAAAAGAAAAATAGCAACGAAGCTCTACCATTTAAAAAATAAATAAATATGGAAAATTGGAAAAGATTCCATACTTGACAAACACTGCATTTTCTTTCCTTCTCAGTGGAGATATGGATATCAAAAATTGAGGGCTTCAATTTAATAATGCAGGATGCAATTTGTTCTTCTCTCAAGCCCGTACTGACATATCCAATCTTATCACCAAGTTCAAGCAAGTCCTAGAAGTCAAATGAGATAGTTGAGGGTTCTTGCAGAATACAAGTTGCAAGATAAATGAGCAGAAACACTGAATTTACATACTTCATATGTCATATTGTCAACATCAAGCCGCCAATCACTGTGTCGGTCGTATGCATCCCCTCTTCCCGACCCAACTCTAAGGTGGAAATTCATCATCTGCTAAAATTATGTTGCAATCAGAAAATAATATTAATTTAAATTGACCCAACTCTAATCTAGGCGGCTTTGTCTCTAAACAAAAATTCTCGAGTTTAAAGCTTAACATATACTGGTGTGCGCGTAATTTATATGTTTCAAATTCAAAAATTTCAGCACGCCTAACAGCAGCACAACCAAGTTCATTGAGAGAAGAATTTCCTAATAAGTTTTCCAGGGGACTGGAAACACTTCCGAAATAATAATTACAGTTGTGAAAAAAAAACATGGGGGACCGAAGTCTGGTCAAACTTATGTTTTAACACATGAAAATGTTATAAGATGTAAATGCAAGAACGCAAAAAGAAAATGCCAAACTAGCCAGCATAGCTGATACTAAACTAAACCTGAACTTAACAAGGAGGTCATGGGATAAAGTAAACCTAAGAAAACTAAATGGGAGAGTGCAAAGAGTAGAATATGGTGGGGAGGTGATTTGAAAAATGGCTAAGTTGATAAGGAAATAAGTGAGAAGTGAGAAGTGAGAAGTGAGGTAAGTCCATCGATGCCAAATATCTTTTTGACACATTTAAGGGATAAGTGGCTTTTTCTCTAGAAAGTGAAATAAGTGGCATCTGCTCTCAAGCCTCACGAAATTAAAAAATATTGATGGTCTCATGTTATCGAGAAACTTCAATGCTATTCACACATGTGTGTCAGCGTATAATAATACAGTACATGATACCCTTGGGCATAAAAATAATATGTTAGATTATCTCGCATCATTTCAATATATTATTGATGTGTTGAAAGCGGTTATATCTGACAAGTGTTTTGAGGGAGGCTCTTGAGCTCTTCAATTAATATATGGATCAATTAACACAAATAAAATGATGCAAATGAAACAAAAATTCATAATGCTAAGAATCTAGATTTAAATGTAAATATTATTTTTAGAATTAAATTCAAGATTAAGGTCTTATGTAATAAATTTAATATGAATTAATCTACGATTCTCCATAGATTGTACAGGGTTTTAAGAAAAAAGCATTATCCACATCTAATGCATGCTAAACAAAATACAGCACAAAAATCAAATCAAAATTAAAAAAAAATTCATGCTCATTGAACCTACACCCAAACTTCCCTTATATTAGAGTTGTAATTCTTAAACGATGCACATAACTAATATCAAAGTTATAAGCCTCGGACCTTGATTGAGTGCAGATCATATATTAATTAGATTAAATGTCTTATTTAAATGTAAAAATTATTTTTAGAATTAAATTCAAGATTAAAGGTGAGGTTGCATTCTGCTCATTGGACCTACACCCAAACTTCCCTTATAATAGAGTTGTAATTCTTAAACGATGCACACCACTACTATCAAAGTTATAAGCCTCAAACCTTGATTGAGTGCAGATCATATATTAATTAGATTAAAGGTCTTATTTAAATGTAAATATTATTTTTAGAATTAAATTCAAGATTAAAGGTCATATGTAATAAATTTAATATGAATTAAACTACATTCTCCATAGATTGTACAAGGCTTTAAGAAAAAAACCATTATCCACATCTAATGCATGCTAAACAAAAGCCAGCACAAAAATCAAATCAAAATTAAAAAACAAAATATTCATGCAAGACCAAATTTTTCTTATTGCAGAAAATTGTGGTTCATGCATTTTTTTAAATATAGATTAGATGAAGAAGATTAATAATTACAATATAGGGTTTTATCCAATTTTGTGAATTAGGCTTACACCAGAGAACATGTTTATAAATCTGAACCCAAAACTGAGGAAAGGTTAAAACCAAATCTAAAATTGAACCAGAGATGATATGTGAGCATAAAAATCAACTAGAACATATTTGCATCTTCTAGAACATAAACATCAACTAGAACATATATATATATATATATATAATCAAAATTGCCAATAAGACAAGGTCATATCACTAAGTTTTGGGTATTTCCATATTTAGGCAGTGAGGTTGCATCCTGCTCATTGGACCTACACCCAAACTTCCCTTATATTAGAGTTGTAATTCTTAAACGATGCACATCACTAATATCAAAGTTATAAGCCTCGAATCTTGATTGAGTGCAGATCATATATTAATAAGACTAGCACATATTTACATCTTAGGTAACGGCTATAAGCCTATAAAACCTATAATACTTTTAAATAGAGTCATAACACTGATATTCAACTCACCTGATGCCTCAATAATTGAAGGTAGAATTGTAAACTTCGTTGTGAACTCATGCTTAATTGCTTCCATTGTGGAATCATTATCCTATACACTATAAATATGACATAAATGAAGAAAAATTAAAGCAATTGCTTAAAGGTGTATTGCTTCCATTGTAATATCATTTTAAGGTATTTTTATAAAAATGTTCAAAGTATTAATATCGTCAAGCATCTAATTTATTCTATTTTAGTAATCTCTCTCATCATTGTCTCTTTAGTATAGTTTATATTGAGTTTTACATTATTTTTAGCATTCCAGTACAGCATAGTGTAAGATTTCTTTAATTGGTGTTTAGTCCTGCACATCTTCAATATTCAGCAAACTTTGGAACATTAATTTCAATCTTTTAATAAAGATTATTTATTTTCCAAGCTTCTAAGGATAGGTGTTGCGACCATGTTCGTCGGGTGTAAGCGAAAGCAAAGCACGAAGGCTACTTTGCCAAGAAGGAAATAGTTTTTTGTCATAATAAGTCAGTGGAAACTTGAGTATGAAGGCTCTTAGGAGTGCATGCAGAGCAATTAGGTGTTGAATCACATAACAATCTATTGTCTAATTTGCACTATAGATGGTTTTAAACATTTTTTAATTAATATTATATGATTGAATATTCCTGTGACAACAGCCATAATGTTTTTATGCCATAGTTTTATGTAGACAAATCGATTGTGCTCAAAGTTTATTACTCATACTCTTAGCATAAATTATTTTACATCAACATATTTGTTGTGTCGACACTTGTGAGTGGTGCATAAGATGAAGAAAAACACTTTGATGAGTCTTGAAACAAGAAAAATAGAGAGGCCAAGATGCTCAAGCTTCATAAAGTTAACTTCTTAAACAGAGGCTTGGTCTATAACCTTGAAGATGAGAAAAATCTAGTATAGGACTTACATCGCCAACAACAAATAAGTTGAATGATGGATCTTATAACTCTAGGAGTCTCAAGGTTTGTGTATTTGGCACGAACATAGCATAAAGTTGGGTGTTATATCTAAAGAAAGCCTATAGGGGTACTTAAAGCCTCAAGCGTCAGGAAACCCCCAAAGATAAGACATACAATTGTGGAAAGAAGGAAATAAGACACATTTGTAAGACTTATAACTCTAAGCATACAAATGCCTAGAAGGCATAAGATTTATACATTTGATATGAACTCTATTAGGGTTGAGTTTTATATTTAAAGGAAAGATAAAGTCCCACAAGATGAGACAAATAACTGTACGAGGAAAAAAAAATACATCTCCAAACATACATATACAGAAGAGCTCCATGACCATGTATTTCACTTGATATTATTAGCATAGGGTTAGCCTTATATATGGGAGAAGACCCACTAATGGGATATAAAATCTCTAGCAATTAGGCCCAAAGATAAGGCTTAAAACTCTGCAATGAAAAAGAAAAGATTAGTTAATGAATTTACAACTCTGAACATAGAGGGGCTAAAAAGTATTTAGTCAATGAGATTTATGGGTTTTGTATCGAAATTCAACATTGATGGAACCTACAAAACCGTGAGGAAAAATTGCCTGAATTGACATGCAAATTTTATGGCAAGCATCTCAATGACTTCACTTGAGAAAACTAGGTTCCAAGGCACACTTTGCATGATATTGCATTGCATTCAGTTATTAAACTTGCAATAGTTGCTTCGGGCTTATGATTATACGCCGACACTTAAGTGAATGCCTCTTTCTTTTTCTTGATGTGTCGGGTAATATTAGGCTAACTTGACAATGCATGTAATTTGAAAATAAGTCGAGATAGACAAGCAATTTTGAAAAAACATACAGTTTTGAATGTGCCAAAACCTTGTTAAAATATTATTAAATTTTGATGCACGACAAACATTTTATGAATTTTTTAAGTCATGCGTCAGCCTATGACTTTAGGTTGTCTATAGGATTCACTAAGAGAGACAGGTTTTGCCCCCTTCATCAAATGATGACAAAAAGTCCCATAATTTTGATTATTTTTAGAGAGTTTTATGCTGCTCAATTTGATATTTTTTAATCAGCCATAACACTCCATTCTAACATATGTAAAAGTTAAACCATTTAAGCTCATAGGATTTAGGTTACTAGTCTATTAGGGCCTCCATGAGTCACGCCTGATGGAACCAGTAAAATAATTTCTAAAGGCTTGTAGAATATTCTATGAAACTTTGAAAAGGTCACATTATAATTTAATACATAAATTACTAAATGAAATCATTGGTCTTTAATTTTTAGAGCAAATGGGTTTATTTTTGTATCGTTATAGTTCTCATAAAATTGGTGATTTTTGGCCTTTAAACAACATAGTTTGGACTTCTAATTTAATGGCTATTAATTTTTCACGTTTAGGTAAGTTTAGTTGATTTTAATTGTATTCTTCCCTATAGCGTCTAGGAGCAAATTAAATGATGCAAGAAAGATTGCTAATCATTAGCAATTAGATAGACTTACGTCATATCAAATTGGGTTAATTTAATGATGATCGTTAGCTTTTAATTTGGTAATATGGGCTAAACAATGATGAGATTAGTTGCTTGTACAAAAAGCAAAAAAAGAAAGTGAGGTCATTGGGTTTCAATCGAATGGCTCTCAAATAACCGCGTTGGGCAATGGAATTTGTTTGATGCCCCATCCAATTCTCTTATGGGCGGACAGCTTTGTGTTACAGCCTTCTAAGAGTTTTTGGATTTCCAACTATTAATCCTTGTTGCATCCACGCTTAAAATTCAATTCCAACACTTCCTTACAACATTATGAGTACAT